TTATTGAAAGATTATTGAAAGATTATTGAAAGATTATTGAAAGACTATTGAAAGACTATTGAAAGACTATTGAAAGACTATTGAAAGACTATTGAAAGACTATTGAAAGATTATTGAAAGATTATTGAAAGATTATTGAAAGACTATTGAAAGACTATTGAAAGATTATTGAAAGATTATTGAAAGACTATTGAAAGACTATTGAAAGATTATTGAAAGATTATTGAAAGATTATTGAAAGATTATTGAAAGATTATTGAAAGATTATTGAAAGACTATTGAAAGATTATTGAAAGATTATTGAAAGACTATTGAAAGATTATTGAAAGATTATTGAAAGACTATTGAAAGACTATTGAAAGACTATTGAAAGATTATTGAAAGACTATTGAAAGATTATTGAAAGATTATTGGAAGATTATTGAAAGATTATTGAAAGATTTTTGTCTGTTTATTTGTACGTTTACTTAAGTACAGTGTTTGAGTACTTTCTCCACCACTGGTGACGTTACACCACACACTGCCTGGCTAAAAAACAAGTCTCCAGCTGGATTTAACTAATCAAACAGGTCCGAGCCTCCTGCTGGATCATCACTGCACGGACGATCATCTTTCAGCTGCAACAAGTTCTTTAACTCCAACTGGTGCAATGAGTTGCTTCTCATTTCTTCAACAACATGATGAAAGACACGTGGCGTGGTCGTAGAAAAGATGTCGGTCTGTTTGAGAAGGGTCAAATCATTGGCATCAAGCAGAGGAAACATCTCAGGAGATTGTAGAAACTAAAACTGGGTTAAGAACTGTCCAACACATTATTAAAAACTGGAAGGACAGTGGGGACCCATCGTCTTCCAGGAAGAAATGTGGCCTGAAATAAATCCTGAATGATCGTGATCAGTGATCACTTAAACATTTGGTGAAATCAAATGGAAGAAAAACACCAGCAGCACTCAGGGCTGTGGTTCATAGAGACAGTAAGAACATTTAAACATGCACAAGGTGAAGGAACTCAAGGGACTGGACTGAACAGCTGTGTTGTCTTAAGAAAACCACTAACCAGTGAGGCTAACTGGGAAAAAAAGGCTTCAGTTTGCTTGGGAGCATAAAGATTGGACTCTGGAGCAATGGAAGGTCATGTGGTCTGATGAGTCCAGGTTGACCCTGTTCCAGAGTGATGGAGCATCAGGGTCAGAAGAGAGGCAGGAGAAGTGATGCACCATCATGACCAGTGTCTGTCATCAATGAAAGATGTTGGTGAAACATTAATGCAACACTGGATGAAACAGATCTTGTGACGTTGAAGAAGTTTATTGAAACAATGACACAAAGAACGATGTGATCAAAGCTAAAGGAGGTCCAACCAAATATTCAGGTTTTTTCTTCTTCTTTCGGCTGCTCCCTGTGTCAGGGGTCGCCACAGTGAACTAAGTCGCACGAAGACTTGACAGTTATTTTTTACACCGGATGTTCTTCCTGACCAACCACAGACACCGAGCTACCACAGCCTCTGTGTGGAGCAGAGAGCTGCATCTAGGACACCCGGAGGAGCAGAAGGTGGGGGTCAAGGGCCTTGTTCAAGGGCCCAGAGTGGGACGAATGAGGGTGGGGGCAGGTGTGGGTGCTTCACCTACCCCACCCACATTTTTGATGTTGTCGATACCGGGGCTTGAACCAGCGATCTTCTGATCACAGGCCCACCTTCTCTAACCTCTGTGCCACCACTCCCCCAGTGACTTTTTCTTTTGGCCAGTCAGTGTATATGGAAGTGAAGGAGCTGTTTCCAGAGCTGAAACTGAAACGGCTTGAAATCATCACAAAAACTGTTTCTAAACTCAGTTTGAGTCACTTTTCAATGTCTGCTACAGAACAGATTTATTTATGTCTATGATATTTCAATGGATATGAAGAAATGGTGGATGTTGAACTTTAACTACAGAATCTGACATGAATCTATTACGCTCTGACTACTTAAATGGAAGATTGTTTAAATTTTAAAAAAATCCTAAGTCTGGACTGTGAATCGAAACATGAAGTGATCTGCATCAAACTACAAGTTTTACATCATAAGTCCAATGGAGGACTTCTATCCTGAGTAATAAAACAAGCTTTAAAGTAAAAGTCTGTGAATTGAGTCATTGTTTAATGTAGTTGATCAGTCGATTGGTGGTTCAAACTAAAAGCTGATGTACTTTCAGTAAATCTGCCGTAAACAAAGGTTGGCTGTTCCTGACCTGCAGGAATGATCCCGATGCGCAGCGAGCAGGGCGACAGCGTCTCATCAGGACTATTCAGGTCCACGCCGCTGTCTATCTGCGTCCTCCATATCAAACCATGGATGATCTCACTGAACATGCCGTCCCCTCCCACACACACCACACTGCGTCAGAAACGAGCCAAGGTGAACTAAACAAACTGTTAGGACCCATTTAAATAAATAAATAAAATACAAACTCACCCGTCAAACTTCTTCAGCTCGGCGTCGGTCCTCAGGTGATCCCTCGCATGGTTGGCACGCTCCGTTACTATGACAACAATGACTTTATTAGATGTAGAGTCTCCAACACATGACAACGATTAAAAATCAACTCATTGAGAACCTGAAGGGTTTATTTAAACCGGGGTGCCCAGACGCTTTCATCTTTTTTTTATATAGAGCTCCTTATAAACCTGCCAAGTCACAGTGACCTACCTGCTGTAAGGCCCCGTTTACACAGAACAACCTCTGGAAACTTTACTGTTTTTTCAATGTTTATTGGGGGTAATAAACAAAAGAAAAGAGGGTTTACAACAAAACGCTGTAGTTTCCATGTCAGTCAGGTTGCCAGATAAGAAATGATGAACTATAGTACAGTGACACAAAGTTTGTTTTCTCAGTCATCCAGGTATATAACAACAAAAAA